GTGAATACTAGGCAATCAGTACACGGGAGTCTCTCTGCTCTTTGGTATGTTTTTAAATTCCCATAATAAAATATCTAAAAAGCAGAAGCCTAAGAGATAAGGCAATGAAAAAAAAACAGTAAATGGTATTAACTAGATTCAGGACTGAACAAACCATCTTGTATAACAATTTGGTCTTTGTCCTCAGGGAAGTAGCTTCTAAACCCTTGGAATTTCCCCTGAAGTTGGTAATTGGATTCAGTCTTGTGGCTTTTGATTCAATCATGTCTACATAATAAAAAGCAAGAAAAACAAAACTTTGAACACCAAACCTTGGTGCACTTCCCCACTAACAATACTCTGTGTACATTGTTACACGTTGATACGCTGAGAGGATGATGTATCCTGACTCCAAAGGGAAGGGACACAGAAGCTTTGTGTTTGGGACCCTCCCAGTCCTTGTCCTATGTATCTCTTCTTTTGGCTGGTCCTAATTTGTACCATTTTTGCTCTTAAAAAAAAAAGTAACCCTATTTACAGCATTTTCCTGAGTTATGTGAGTCATTCTAACAAATGACTCACTTGAGGAAATAGTAGGAACCCCCAAATTTGTAGCCAAATGTTTCAGACCTATAGATAGCCCTTGTCCCCTCAAGTTTGTGGATGTGTCTAAAGTGCAGGCAATCTTCTGAATGACTGTGCCCTTAACCTGTGTAGTTTGGCCTACTTCAGGTAGTGTCACAACTGCACTGTGAATCTGTAAAAGACATTTATAGGGGCCGGGCGTGGTGGCTCACACCTGTAATCCCAGTACTTTGGGAGGCAGAGGCAAGAGGATTGCCTTAGTCCATTTAATCTGTAAAAGACATTTATAGGGGCCGGGCGTGGTGGCTCACACCTGTAATCCCAGTACTTTGGGAGGCAGAGGCAAGAGGATTGCCTTAGTCCATTTAAGGCCACCTGGGAAACTTGGTGAGACACCTGTGGTTCCAGCTACTTGGAAGGCTGAGATGGAAGGATTGATTGCCTGAGCCCAGAAGGTCGAGGCTACGGTGACCATGAGTATGTCCCTGCACTCCAGCCTACAGGACAGAGTAAGACTCCAATTCAAAAAAAAAAACACCCTCTGGCTCTATAATTCCAAAGATAACAGGAAAGCAAATCCTGAGAAGTATGCCTTTCTAATTAAGCAGATTTTGGAACTAAATATCAGATTAGACACCACCTTATAGACATATACTATTGTATTTCGTAAAAATACCACGTCTGACAGCAAAGGAGAATTTCCTAAACATGATTTTAAAAAGCACAAACCATAAAATAAAAGACTGAAAAATTATGTTCTTTAAATCTGGGGTTCCCCAACCCCTGAGCCACAAACCAGTACCGGTCCTTGGCCTGTTAGGAACCGAGTCACACAGCAAGAGGTGAGCAGCAGGCAAACAAAGTTTCATCTGTATTTATAGCCACTCCTCATCACTCACATTACCACCTGAGTTCCACCTTCTGTCAGATCAGAGGAGGCATTAGATTCTCACAGAAGTGCAAACCCTAATGTGAATAACACATGTGAGAGATCTGGGTTGCACACTCCTTAGGAGAATCTAATGCCTGATGATCTAAGGTAGAGCTGAGGTGGTAATGCTAGCTTGCACTGAGGAATAGCTGCAAATACAGATTAACATTAGCAGTGAGGTTTGACTGCACAGAGACCATAACAAATCAATTGCTTGCAGATTCATATCAAAACCCTATCAGAGAGCTGGTGCAGTGGCTCATGCCTGAAATCCAGGCACTTTGGCAGGCCAGGGCAAGCAGACTGCCTGAGCCCAACAGTTTAAGATCAGCCTGGGCAACTTGGCTAGACCTCATCTGTATGATAAATCAATAAATTAGCCAGGCATGGTGGCTTGCTCCTACAGTCCCAGCTACCTGAAAGGCTGAGGCAGAAGGATCACCTGAGCCCATAAGGTCAAGGCTGCAGTAGCCATGATCACGCCACTGTACCAGTCTGGCAACAGAATGAGACTCTGACTCAAAAAAAAAAAAAAAAAAAAAAAACCACTATCAGTGAGTGGCAAGCGAGTTGATGTACTTCAGTTGTACAGCTGCATCTGATGGCAGGCTTTAAGTCAGAATCTGACACTTATTTAGTCCATTCATGATCCACCAATTATTTTATTTACCACTTCCAGCCACACCTCTTTTTTTAAATGGTGAGTTGTTTAATTACTTCATTATATGTTACAATGTAATAATAATAAAAATAAATTGCACAATAAATTTTATGCACTTGAATCATCCCAAAACCATGACCCCCACTCCCATTTGTGGGAAAACTATCTCCTATGAAACTGGTCCCTGGAACCAAAAAGGTTGAGGATTGCTGCTTTAAATTATGAGCTTTCGTCACCAGAAGACTATGAAGAGATCAAAAGACAAGTAACAACTGGTAAAGGGTATTTGCAACCTATAAATTACAGACAATTAGGATCCAGAATATACAAAGAACCCTTAAAAATCAATCAGAAAAAAAGAAACAATTCACAATAAAAATAGGCAAAGTCCGGGCATAGTGGCCCACACCTGTAATCTCAGCACTTTGGGAGGCAGAGGCAAGAGGATTGCCTGAGTCTAGGGGTTCAAGACCAGCCTGGGCATCTTGGTGAGGACTCATCTCTACAATAAATAAACAAAAATTAGGCGAGTATGTGGCGCACACCTGTGGTTCCAGCTACTAGGAAGGCTGAGGCAGAAGGAACACCTGAGCCCAGCAGGTTGAGGCTGCAGTGGCCATGAGCATGACACTGCACTCCAAGTTGGGCAACAGAGTGAGACTCCTACTCTTAAAAAAAAAAAAAAAAAAAAAAAAAAAAAAGACAGGGCAAAGGACTTGAAAACACGTTTCACAGAAGCATAAATGGCCAATGAACATGTGAAAAGATGCCTAGCTTCAGAAAATTCTAATAAAAACACAAATGATACCACTTCAAATCCAACAGACTAGGAAAAAATTTAAAAGCCTGACAATATCCAGTGTTGGGGAGGAAGTGAAGCAATCAAAACACACACTGCTGATTCCTGACTCACTCAGTAACCACAAGATTTACAATTACCATGAGCCAATTCAATGACTCAAACACTGGAAGTTTAGTAAGCATTAGGCAACTAATAATGACCAATCAAGCATTCTGAGAACACATGCAGATTACTGCCAAATACAAATTTTGGCTCTTAATGAACTGAGTCCAATTTGACTCAGCAATACAAAAAAGGCAACTTTTAGTCCGCATCCAGTTTATCCAGTTTATTTTGTGAAGTACAAAATACTCAGGTATTCATTTCCTCCTAGAATACTGATGACAGGTCAGGCGCCGTGTCTCAGCCTGTAATCCCAGCACTCTGGGAGGCCGAGGTGTGAGGACTGCCTGAGCCTGGGAGTCAGAGACCACCCTGGGCAACTTGGTGAGACCCTGTCTCTGCAATACATCACAAAAACTAGCCAGGTGTGGTGGTGGGCGCCTGTAGTTCTAGCTACTTGGAAAGCTGAGGCAGAAGGATTGCCTGAGCCCAGCAGGTCTAGGCTTTGGCGGCCATGAGCATGCTACTGCACTCCAGCCTGGGCGACAAAAGTAAGACATGAGACCCCAACTCAAAAAAATTAAAAAATTAAAAAAAAAGACTACTGATGACATCATAAGTGACTAAATTTTTTTTTAAGATGTGGGGTACAATTCAGGGTTAGGTATACAAATGGTCATTTGTGTAGGTAAAGTTTGAGTCTCACTTTGGTTCCCACGTCACCTGGTTTGAGATGAAGTACCCTTATCGATGAGGTGTGCCCCCCTCCCTAACATGGCAGTTTCCCACTACTGCCAATCCCTCTCTTATAGCATTATAATAGTTGTTCAGGGTTCGCTTAAGAGTGACAACATGTGGTACTCAGTACTTTGTTTCTGTGATAGATCACTCAGTATTATAGACTCTAAGTCCATCCAAGTTGCTACCAAGTTCATAATTTTGTCCTTCTTTACGGCTGTGTAATATTCTATCGTGTATATGTACATTTTTTAATCCAGTGACTAAAATTTAAAAAAAACTATTTATTATTCCAGTTACATTACTATTTCAGTGAGAACAAGCAGTTTAAAATGGTATTTCTTTAACACTAGTGTTTATATTTTACAGAAATTGGAATATCCCTGTGACCACCTAAAAGGGGCAAAATGGTGTCACAGATGCAGCACGGGCATTGAGGTAAACAGATGTAAATTCAAATTTAGACCCTACCACTTTATAGCTGTAACCTTAAATTACTCAACCTCTCTGATCCTCAGTTTCCTTAATACAAAAAACCCATGTATATCATAACCTACCTGTTGAATCCAAGTATAAGGATTAAGTGACATTATGTAACATTTAATAATCTTTGTTCATTAGTTTATACCTAGTGTTAGCACCTTTTCCTTTGTAAAACCTGAAATTATAACTCTTAATTAATAAAAAAAATTACTTATAGTCAAGTTATCTTTCAATATTACAGACAACTGTACACTGCAGATTGGAAAAGCAATACTCTGCTTGCATCTTTTCCTAACTAAAACGTATTTTCCTATGAGAATTCGCAAAAATCTTACCAGGCCCAGTGGCTCATGCCTGTAATTCCAGCACTTTGGGAGATGGAAGCGAGAGGATTGCCTGAGTCCAGGGGTTCAAGAGAAGACAGGGCAACTTGGCGAGATCTTGTCTCTTGAATCAAAAATTAGCTGGGCGTAGTGGCTCACGCCTATAATCCCAGCACTTTGGGAGGGTGAGGTGAGAGGATTGCCTGAGCCCACAGGTTCGAGACCAGCCTGGGCAAATTGATGAGACCTCATCTCTACAATAAATCAAAAAATTAGCCAGGCATGGTGGCATATGCCTACAGTTCCAGCTACCTGGAAGGCAGTTTGAGGCAGAAGAATCGCCTGAGCCCAGTAGGTTGAGGTGCAGTGGCCGTCAGCGTGCCACTGCACTCCAACCTGGGCAAAAGAGTGAGACTCCAACTCAAAACAAAAAAAAATTAGGCGGCCATGGTGGCACTCACCTGTGGTTCCAGCTACTTGAAAGGCTGAGGTGGAAGGATCACCTGAGCCCAATAGGTTGACTCTGCAGTGGTTGTGAGCATGCTAGTGCACTCCAGCCTGGATGACAGTGAGACTCCAACTCAAAAAAAAAAACAAATTCTCAAAAATCCTATTATCTCCTACAAGTAATCCAGAAAAGAAGACTTGTCTTAGGGATTCCCACACTGTGAGGGAAACTAAACACAAGTTATTTCTAAGCTTCTTTTCAGCTCAAGGTTTTTTTTCTTATTCTAACAAAAAGCGTATTTAATGTTTTAAGTACTGTAAACTACCTTTCACATTTCTTCTTTTTTTTAGATACATGGTCTGGCTATGTTGCCCAGGCTGGCCTTGAACTCCTAGCCTTTAGCAATCCTCCCACCTCGGCCTCCCAAAGTGCTGGAATTATAAGCATAAGCCACTGTGCCTGGCCTCACATTTCTGAAGATTATCTAAAGAAAACTACCTGAGTAATGCATTTTTTTTTTATTAGTCTGTGAGAAAAAAAAAGTTTATACTTAAAATGATCTACATCTGGCCAGGCTCGGTGGTTCAGCCTGCAATCCCGCACTTTGGGAGGCCGAGGTGAGTGAATTGCCTGAGCCCGCGGGTTCAAAACCCGCCTGGCAACTTGGCGAGACCTCATCTCTACAATAAATCAAAAAAATTGGCTGGGCATGGTAGCACATGCCTGCAGTTCCAGCTACTTGGAAGGCTGGGGCAGAAGGATCACCAGAATCCAGGAGGTCGAGGCTGCAGTGGCCAGAAGCGTGCCACTGCACTCCAGTCTGGGCGACAGAGTGGGACTCCAACTCAAAAAAAAAAAGATCTACATCTGAAAAAAAAAAAATCTCAACACATTCAACAATTAGAGACAAAGAAAAATGTATAATACTGGGCATCTACACCCAGGACTAATAATAAAATTATAATGCTGGGCAACCCCTTCGGGTCCCCTCCCGCTGTGGGAGTTTTCTGTCCTCTCAATAAATCCTGCTTTAAAAAAAATTGCCTGAGCCCGCGGGTTCAAGACCCGCCTGGGCAACTTGGTGAGACCTCACCTCTACAATAAATCAAAAAATTAGCCGAGTATGGTAGTGTGCGTCTGTAGTTCCAACTACTTAGAAAGCTGAGGTGGAAGGATCTCTGGAGCCCAGCAGGTCGAGGCTGCGGTGGCTGGGAGCAGCCGCTGCACTCCAGTCTGGGCGACAGAGTGAGACTCCAACTAAAAAAAAAAAAAAAAATCATGGCCGGGCTCGGTAGCTTAGCCTGTAATCCCAGCACTTTGGGAGGCCGGGTGAGTGGACTGCCTGAGCCCACAGGTTTGAGACCTGCCTAGGCAATTTGATGAGACCTCATCTCTACAACAAATCAAAAATTAGCTGAGCGTGGTAGCGCGCACCTGTAGTTCCAGCTACTTGGAAGGCTGAGGCGGAAGGATCGCCATAGCCCAGCAGGTCGAGGCTGCGGTGGCC